AGAAAATGCAAACTCCACCCAGGAAAGCCGGCACTGGAATCGAACCCTGCACCTCTGCACCATGAGGCCGACGTGCGAACCAGTCCACACCTTGCCGGATTCTCTGTGACACAAAAAAAGGAAAAGACGTATAAATACGTTATGGGTAAGCAGCTGTAGTGGCTTATACGTCATAGGGAATAAAAGAGTTAATCGTTTTTCGACGTGCTTCTACTTCCACATTTTCTTCTCACCAAATTCACGCCATGTGAGCTATGTCTTTCACATTCAAACGGTTCACAAATTTTCACCCAATGACAAATTCAGCATCACAGATTCACATCATTCCCAATGAAAAACAGGCAGACCTTATTTCACATTTTTCACCAGCATATCGTGCATTTTTCACCAGTCTCATTTCCACATCATTCCATGTCACTCATTATCATTCCTTATCATTATCATCCATATCAATATCACACCACATTATTCCATATCAGTCCATATTTTCCACCAACATATTACCTATTTGTCACCAAAACCATTCCAGATCATCGAATATAATTCCATCACATTCCATAATATACACATCATGTTAGATGTAAATAATTTCTTGACGGGTTGTGAATGTCAGCGTCGTCGTCTGTCTTTTTTCAAAATCAAATTCTTTGGAAGCCATTCATTTCTAACGGTAACGTTCATAAAAGGAGACTGAAATCAATTGTTTTGAGATTTTAGGCTTGGGTATATTTAGGGGTTTAACTGACAATACAGGACATTTAAATTTTTTTTTGGGGGGGGTGGTCTATATTATTATTATTATTTTTAAATATTTATGTCGGTGTTGGTCCCTAACCCTGTCGAGGATCCTATTGGAGCATTTCTTCAAAGTTCAGCGTATCCATGACAATGTACCCCAGATGCTTGACAAGTGGCTTATCGAGGAAACAGCCATGTTTACTTTTGACTGGAACAAAATATCCTCCCTCTCAGTTTTCTTCAACGCCACATAAGCTTGACCTGTGACCGATTATTTAAAATATCACAAGGTCAATCTCAATGTTTTAGATCGACATCGTCGATGTCAACTGAACTTTGTACAAGCGATGTCGTCAAACTAATAGGATTTCAGTGTATCCCCTTGAAAATTTGCTTGCATAAATGTGTTTCTCTGCATAACACGGGAGGGAGGCGGGCGCTGCTGGGCGAGCGGATGGGGAGCAGACACACACAAACATAAACAAACATAAAAGGGAGAGTGAGCTAAAGGGAGACAGTGCGAGGAAACACATGGCATGCTCGGTGCGAGAGGGCAGCCCGTGTCTACAAACAAGGAGGCGGATAAGAGAGGGTGCCGAGCCGGAGACAAAGGCAGGGATGGCGGGGTGGATGGCCCGGCCGGGCTCCAGGGTGTGCGTATGTGTGTGTGTATATTCCCCAGCCCCTTTGTCTCAAGTTTACCCAGCTGGGGAGCCGAAGCGACCCAGACGGACTCTTCTGATGTCACCTACTGTACCCGAACCCTCCCAACTCCCTCACTTCCTGCCTCGGGCCACAGTGATATCACAGGCCAGCTGGGGATGTCACGTCCACACACACCACCGCCACCACCACCGCATTCCCCTTACCCTCCGCTGTCTGCCCCTCGTCATACACTTCAATCGGCGTAGCCCCGCTGTGAATTGGGACAGGCAATAGAGCACGTACTAAAGTTCACAATCGCATTAGCACATGTTGTAGTCATTAGCCCCAACTCATGCAAATCATTGGCAGAATAGATAAATACGATAAAACACCTCAAAACAAAACATTGTTTATCACGGGGGTGGGGAGAGACGGAATGCTCACACTAGTGTGTATTTAAGAAGAAAAAAAAAGACATCTATTCTCATTCTTTCTCTATTAAGAAATGGGAGACTTATCTGGAACATCATTTTGAGGACATGGAATGAAATAAACTCTCGCTCACAGCCCCCCCCCCCACCACCACCCTCCCAAAAAAGAAAAGAAACAAAGCGCGTTGGCTTCATTTGTTATTCACTACCAGTGGAAGTTTACTGTAAAACCGACACATACAAAATAGAAATAATCGTTGTACTTTGCATCGTTTAAACACCAAAATGCGCAACCAAAAGATAAAACAACGCATTACATCAGCACGCTAGCTTTATGCTAACATTTAATGCAAAACGCCATAGACAGACGAATGGAAATTAGCATTGATGTTACAGCCATACTAAAGCTTTAAACAACTGCTACGTTAACAAACAGAGAGCAGCAAAACATCTAAACAGAGCATACAACAGCACTCACAGGCATATGTTCTCTCTGCCTTGTGGGAACGACTTTTTCTCTCTCTCTCTCTCTCTCTCTCTCTCTCTCTCTCTCTCTCTCTCTCTCTCTATATATATATATATATATATATATATATATATATATATGCACAACTCTAAATTTGGTCTTGCATGTATGCATACAGTACATAATCCACACACACACAAAAAAAAACCCATTCACTTAATACAAGTGCGGAAAAAAAGATCACTGCAGTAAAACAAATTTAACTACAGTAGAAAAAAAGTCTGAAAAGTTAATAACTGTAAAAGTATCAATTTCTTGGACTTGCCTTTCAAAGTCTTTTCTTTAAATTCAGACCAGCTCATTCAATGAGCTTCGCAAAAAAAAAAAAAAAAAAAAAAAAAAAAAAAGCATGAAGAGAGCAACAAGGAGCTACGCGACAGATTTATGGTTTAATGCAACCGCAAAGAGCTCTTTAAAACATGCACAACCTTTTAATGAAACGGCAGCTTCAACAAGACTTTTCTGTTCTGGACATGGAGGGTGGAACAAGAGTGCCACATTACTACATAACCTGATCTCCATTTTGTCCATTTAGAAGTGAAGCTGACAAGTTTAATGTGGTGTCAATTGAGGGTGGGCATGGCTGAAGTAATGCTTCTTCTTTAACTTTGAGGAGATAGCAGTAATTATGCACTCAAGTTGTGTCTTGGAACATACATGTAACCCTGTTACTAGCAACCAAGAGGGAAGGGAAAAAATAGCTACATGACTCAGCAGAAATGCTCATCAAGCTAACTGCTGTGACCACTGCGACATCTAAATACTCTCCAATGTTTTTCTGATTTTTCCAGGTTTTCAGCTCACTCATGTCACCAGAAGACATATTAGTATCAAAGTTTTTCTGTTATTTTTTAGAAAAGAGCGAAGTGTGTTAGCATTGAATCGAGCACAGCTAGCATGTACGACCTCATTAACATTGATTTGTTACCTGTTACTGTAATTACTGTAATACTCAAAATATATTCGAATACAAATAAAATGGCAATTTCTTTATGATTTTGGAAATTATTTAATTATTGAGCAACATTTTTGAAAAGTATGTTTTTCAGGCACCTGAATCTATTTGTTACAGTTGCTCCAAACACTACAAAATATATTATTTGACAAACAAAATGTCTCGTAAAAAGTTTACTGTTGATGACTGATGGCTTGTTTCATGTTTTCTCAGAGGGGAGCAGTTTTAACCATATTCATTTATTATTTGTATTCATTAAATGTCCTAATCTGTCACAATATATCAAATCAGCGTGTGATACAGCCATGGCAATGGTGTAACATAACACAAACCTGACTAAAGCATTGCTTAGGATCTACTTGGTGGTGGGGGGAGGTGGAAGGTGATGAGCCCTCCCTGGCACTCCTAGAACCGCCACTGGAAATGAGAATAGGCATCGTAAACAACTGAACTGAAGCCAGAAGTTTTTTTTTTTAATCCGCTGTTTTCAGGCAAGGTGATTTATGGCGATGATTAAGTTGTTGAGTAGTTTAATGTGGGCGGGAAATGAGGGGAAAAAAAACAAATCATGTTCCAAAAGAGCAAACATTTGATTTTTAGCCTGCCTTTCAGCAGATGTTATTCAAACAAACCAAACCAACGTGAGCTTGGATGGCTGTCAGATTTGGATTTGTGAGCACAGCGGCTGTTTTTTGCACAGTCGATGGAACAAAAACACAATAAAAACTAGTTAAACCAGAATGCTTCTTCATAGAAGCAGCACAGTGGGCAAGCGGTTACATCTGCTTCATCATTTTTGGCTCAAGCCTACCTGTTTTGAGTGTTTCCCCTCCACCCCAGGTTTGTATAAAACTTAATCCACAATCACACAAAACATGCCCCTCACATTGCCATTAAGTTAAACACTTCGATTTTATTTATTCATTCATTCATTCCGTTAATTAATATTAACATGTATCGTGTTCCGCTATCACGGTTCACGTTTGCACATTTTATTTATTTATTTTTTAACTGGATGCGTTGCAGATTTTCACCTATTTGGGGAGGGTCTGGAATGTATGGGTGGGCGGGTGACTGGGTCCCTGGCGTCCACCTGCCGGGGGGGATCTACCCTCACATCAGTCACTTCAAACTGAAGCACGTCCCACCCCCCCAGCCCCACATCGAAAGCACAGATTATCATTGAATGTAATGTTTCTTCAAACATGTTGTGTATAGTTATTCAAGGTTTCACGAGGACATTAGTTCCTATGGGAATAATTGAACCAATGTTGGGTTGAGGATGACCCCCGAATGTATCAAAGAGACGCTTCCTTCCATCGTGACATAGTTGCAGAGGAGTGGGTTTGAATACGTGCAGGAGCACAGGAACCCCCATGTCGAGGCTGGACACCACAAACATCCACTCCTCCCTTTGGGACGTCCCGCTGCCCTGCCCCGAGCCCACCCTGTCCTCTGCTGCTTCGACAACGTACACGCTCTCTTTTTAATATCAGATCCAGTTTCAGCACACACATAATACACACATCCTTTCTCTTTCTTTGATGGAGGAGGAAATGCTCACACAAACACACAAACAAAGCCGATCACATGTGTTGACTTGTCCGAAAAGCTTCGCGATCCACGCTCATCCGTTGGGGGGGGGCTTGACCGATGCATTAGCTCTGCCCTTCCCCTCCTATCCTCTCCTTCTCTACACATCTACCTGATTGTCTGCTTGTTTTCTCCGCCGGGCTCAGGGCTTCCGTTCCCAGGCAAGGAGGTAGGACGTGAAGAAGGGGCGTGTATGGGGCTGGAAGCACACCATTTTGTAGCCATGAAGGAGCAGCGACGAGAAGTCCCGTCGATGGTCCTCCTGGAGATAAAGAGAATGGAAGTAGGATTACATGTGATGGAAAATCGACTTTTGAGTCTCTGGAGTGCCAGCCCAGGTATCCATCAAGCATGAAATTAAACAACCAACAAAATCTTTGGTCATCTGCTTTTTTCTGAAAATGTGTCCATGGGCCACGAAAATGAGCTAATTGCAGCATTGCAGGAAATAAGCTGTCAAAAACAAAAAATCTCCAAGTTGATCCATTTAGGTAGTTTGACAAAAGTATGGCACAGGAATGTAGTGAAGACTCATGAGAATTTTTTGTGGTGGTGGAAAAAATAGAGGATCGAAGTGCATGAAGGCAAAGGCGAAAGTGCAGGGGTCACAAAAAAAAAAAAAAAAAAGGAAACGATGGTGCCTGCTGGAATCAAAACACAAAATTAACAAAACGAGAACCAAAGCTACAAAGCCGAACTGGAAATAGATTCTCCTCATAAGTAAACAAGACATGACTTTAGATTTAAAACAGAACAACAGTTCAATTAGGTGTGTGAAAGACAGTTTTTAGTGGAATTATCGCTAAGAATGTTCACTAAACTGGGGTTGGAAAAAGAATTTTTGATTTTTCAACAGGCACAACAATCTGACAAAATCAAGTCTCTGACGAAGTGTTTTTTTGTTTTTGTTTATTTCTGGGTCATGTCCTGAAACAAACATGGCGTGATATAGTGGAAAGTTTTCGGGTTCAGCAGCAACTTGGAAAATTGGTGATCTGACCTGACAAAATGTCTGAAATTGCCCCTTGTAGGTTTGTCTTATGGATGTGCTTGGGAAACAGGTCTCTTCACATTCCACAGTTGATTTTCCAATGCCATTCCACTCCTTATCCATAAATGATTTATCTACGAATCATTTGTGAATCTATGGTTATCGGCACACTTTTCCTCATTACTATTGCAGGTAGTCATTCTGCGATGGCATTACAAAATAAACAAATTTAAAAAAAAAAATCAGCCTTGTGGAATTCATTGAAACAAGCCAATATGTTCCCCATTTAGCCATTGTCCAATAGAGCATATATGATGAACCCTTATGAACTTTACGGAGCAAAAATAAAATATGATGTAATATTCTTTATGTACAATTCGTGCTTCATAACATGGTCATTGGGACAGAAATTGTAATGTTAAGAAGACAGGCATTTGTATTTTTAAGTAGGAGAAGATGGAAGTATTTATCATCCAGTAAAAATAAATAAATAAATAAATAAATAAATAAAGATACACGTTTCTAAATAAAAAGAAGAGGACGAGAAGGCGAAATATGTTGCATTGTGAAGCGGTGTAGCGCTGTGTGTGCATGACCCAACACGCTTCCATGTTTGTGCTGCAGGTGACATTTCGCACGCCCACCATTCAGCCTGTGGAACATTGTGCTGCCATTTTTTTTCAAAGACATTTCATGGTTTTCTTTTTTTTTTTTTTTTTTGCCTCTGGGCTACTTCCAATCTCATTTGAGGTGAAGCGATCAAAAGCAATGAGTCACAGTCTCTAAATTCTGCTTCATACGAATTGAGTTGTAATCCATAAAGACTCTTTAATCATTATTTCGTATGCACTTTTTTTTCTTCGAAACAAGGGTAGTTACAACAGCTTGTAAACTACCGAAGCTCATAAAGCAGTTATGTAGGTTCATAAAGTGTGCATCCATAGTATATGGATGCACACAGAGCATACAGTTAAACCAACCAACTTCATTTGAAATGCTTTCGGCACAACTCAATTCAGAAAAAATATCAGAAGCCAGCAGAATAAAAGCAGTACAACAAATTTGTACGTCACTTGCGTCAAGTTTCAGAGAGTCAAGGATTCTTAAGTGAGTCTATTGAGGTGGACTTTAGTCACAGAATTTGTATCCGCAAAAATTCAACAATTAAATGATACAGGCTCAAGAACATACCCCAGTGGAACCCCAGATATTTAAATTTTATATGATAAAAACATGTTTTGCATTTCATTTGCACATTTTTTTAAAAATATTGAAAAATGTGATTTTTTTCCCCCCCTTAAAATATGGTTCTCATTGGTATGAAATAGCAAGTTCATGTCCTCGTGTGGTGAATGGGTGTTTACTGTTTAATGCTCATTCTAAATAGGACCATCTGGAATTAAAAAAAAAAAAGTTCTTAATTCAGACTAAAAGCAATATGTACATCAAAAAGAGTAATTTCGGCAAAATTATTTACATGGGTATTCAAACAGAGAGATGAGAGAACATATCCCCGTGGAACTCCACACACTGGACTAAGATAATCACTGTGTATTTCTCTATTTCTCATATAAGAATTATAAAGCTGCTTCATGAAATTTTGGATTTAAATAACATCAATGCGTTTTGCATTAATTTGAACTTTTTTTCAAAATTAAAACAATATTTGTCATGGAATGAAACAGCCCGTAGTCCTGCCATGGGGAATGAAAGGATGTTTACTAAATAAGGCTAAATCCAAGAACCTTCTTAATTACCCCCACACCCCCAAAAAAAATCAAAACGTTGAAAAACACAGCGGTGAACAAGGCCCATACTGTCGAAAAACAGCATCATTTAAAAGCTGAGCTTTATCATCTAAGCCATGTAAAGATTTATTTATTTTTGCTGGCTTGTCAATAGTCATCCTAATAATTGGACTGAAGGGCAAAGAATGATTTTTAGAGCTATGGGAAACTCCCTTTGAGTGGTAAATTGTTGCCACAATAGATCCACTGGCGGGTGATCAAACCACTTCAATAGGAAATCTAAAGACATGAAAGCATGAAAAATCTAAATGCCATCAGTCAAAAGACATTCACAAAAGGGGGATTTTTTTTTCATGACGAAGAGGTCAGAGAGCTGCCCGAAAGACCTAAAAAAAAATAATTTAAAAATAATTTCAAAAGTTGGGCAAACAGAAAAAAAAAAAGTGACGGATTACTTTGAAATGTTGACGACTGTTTCTGCTGATTGCATTGGATCCGTTTGTGGTGGTGAGTTTGGAGGAAATGCAGACGTTTCGCCTTCTTGCTCCAAATCAAGGGTGGCTTTTGTAAAAACACGGCTCAGCAAAAACACACTTGACCACCGAGTGACTTCGCTTGGCAGCGACGTGTAAATTTTGAGGAAAAGAATCAACAAAGAAAACTTGTTGACATGATCGCTGTTGTTTTCTTTTCGACAGTCGCAGCTGCGGAAGTACAGTACAAGATGGATTGGGGTGGTATTTAGTATTTGTTTGAATGGTTCCACTCCATGTTTCACCAATCACACTTTGTTGCTATGCTGACAACAAGCAGGTCCACATAACATACCATCGTGATTAGGAGCAACTTTTCCAGCGGTTCTCAGACTTTTGACGTCTAAAGGCCTTATTTTCATGTCCAAGGCAAGTTTTGTGCAAAGTGCAATGCAACTGTGCGCACCGGTGGAGTTTTCTTTCTTTTGGTATTTTCATCGACGAGCGCATTTAGAAATGAGCATTTCCGCCATCATGGGAGTGAACACATCCGACTTGATTGCCAGCCAATCAAAGCAGTCCCCCTCATTCCCTTTAAATTCAACACAGGGGAGGGGAGGCACATGGTCGACATGGTGCAAGCATAACGGACTCACTGGAGACCGTGCAGGAGATTGGCGCGCGCCAAGTACGTTTAATTCAAGAAGAAGTCTTGCGCATGATGTAAACTGTTCATCTTTAATGTATACATATATAAATGTGTTTGTACAGTATATGTGTGTGTGTGTGTGTGTGTGTGTGTGTGTGTGTGTGTGTGTGTGTGTGTGTGTGTGTTATTGGGTTTAATCTACTCACCAATTACTCAGTGTAAAATTTGCGTCTGTTTAGCTTGTGTCCAAATTCACAGACTGGGACCTCCGAAGGCCGCATATTCAGCCGCATGATGTCACTTCTGGCGTGATTCGACCACATGATTCAACCTGTCCAAATATTCACAGAGGCTACATGAGGAGGCATCGAAAAAAAGCCAATCTGCAAATTGTCTTTCTAGAATGGGAAACCACATTAGGTCGAGTTATGCCGGAAGTGACGTTATGCTGCGGCCGAAAAATACGGCCTTCGGAGGAAGTAGCCTGTGAATTTAGACACAGCTTGTTACATTATTCTGTCGTATGAATGGCAGTAGGTGGATTGTACCTTCTGCCATCTAGTGGAGGGGCATTTAATTGTTTGGCCTGTCAATATATGTCACTAACATAGATAGATGAACAAAGAAACATGGCTGTAAGTAAAGAATTAGCTTCAGCGTGCAACTCTAATTTGCTTTTATACAACGACACTGTAAGGCCAAAAAAATGAGCCAGGATAGAGGACCACAGCACAGCATCACCCCCTGAATGTGAAGTCCAGAAAATAATTTCAAGCTCACCTCCCCCTTCCACAGTTCGTAGGAAGCCTTCAAATGAGCGGACGAATCCTGATCCAATTCTCCACCGAAGGCGCAGCAGCGGGCGAGGCAGGAAGTTGCCAGCCATCTCGGAGATTACTTTGCCTTCCTCTCGGCGACGTGCACTCCCCGTGACCCCCGTGACCTTCCTCCTCCCCGGCGCGTATGGCATACACACCGTGGGCCCAAGAGCGTGCCAGCTGGCCCTAGGACACATGCGTGCGCACACGCGCGCGCGCGCGCGCGCGCGCGCGCGCACACACACACACACACA